TATTATTTATTTATCAAAGATGTCCCAGTTACTAAGACAGGTCCCATCCCAGGCCTCGTGGAACTTACAGACTAGTAAGGTTGAGTATCCCTTATCAGAAATGCTTGGGACCATGAATGTTTCACATTTTGGATATTTGTGCTATGCTTACCAGTTGAGCACCACAAATCCAAAAAATTCAGAATCCAAGTTGGGCACTGTGATATGCTATAATCCCAGGTACTCAGGAGGCTGAAATGGGAGCATCTCTTGTGCTCAGGGGCTTAGGGCCACAGTGCGGTATCATCATGCCTGTGCGTAGTCACTGCACACCAGCCTGGATTATATATCAAGACCATCTCGGAAATATATATAAAATCCAAAATGCTTATTGGGGCCAGGCACAGTGGCTCATTGCTGTAATCTTAGCACTCTGAGGGGCCAAGGTGGGAGGATCCCTTGAGCTCAGAAGTTCAAAACTAGTCTGAGCGGCTCAACGCCTGCAGCTCAGGCATCTAGGGCCCCAGCCACATACACCGGAGCTGGCAGGTTTGAATCCAGCCTGGGCCAAAAAGTAGCTGGGCATTGCGGCAGGCACCTGTAGTCCCAGCTACTTGGGAGGCTGAGGCAAGAGAATTGCTTGGGCCCAGGAGTTTGAGGTTGCTGTGAGCTATGGCACTACAGAACTGTACACAGGGCGACAGCCTGAGGCTCTGTCTCAAAAAAAAAAACCAGTCAGAGTAAAGCTAGACCCTATCTCTACTTAAAATAGAAAAACTTAGCCAGACATGGTGACACATGCCTATAGTCCCAATTACTGGGGAAGCTGAGGCAGGAGGATGGTTAGGACCCAGGAGTTTGAGGTTACCATAAGCTAGACTGATGCCACAGCACTCGAGCCTGGGTAACAGAGTGAGACTGTCTCCAGAACAAAAACAATGCCTATTGGAGTGCTTGAGCATCATGTCAGCATTCAAAAAGTTTTAGATTTTGGAGCATTTTAGATTTCACATGGTCAACCTATGTAGGGTTTTTCAATGGTGAACTTTTATCATTCAGGGTAGAATAATTCTATTGATGTACAGAATGATCTTGCTGACCCCTTCCCGGTAAATACCTGTAGGACCTTTATAGAGTCATTGTGATAATAAAAACTTCCCATACATTTTCAGATTCTACCCTGGGGTTTGGCGACAGGTGATACCACCCCTACTGAGAGCTGCTGGTTTAATGGGAGGTGTAATTTTTTTTTTTTTTTTTT